TTACACGTTGCATTCATATATTCACTCACAGACAACAGTACATACTTTTGGACAAGTTCTTGATTATATGGTAGCCCAATTAATGAAATAGATAAAAGTTCCCGTCGTAGAATTAACATTTTTTATTTTAGAATTAACCATGTAGTGACTGCAGTCAACATATAAACAATAAATTATAACCAGGCAGGTTAGGGCTGGTTTAAAACAATTTGAGTTGATTTTAATGAAATGATGCTAAAGTACAAAAAGGGAAAAGAGCATACATTTGATTAGTCCAAGATCGTGATCCTTTGGGGCATGTTTGAGGATTCTACTGAGTCTATACAATTTAGGAAAATGAAACTTTTAAATAAAGTAGATGAGAGCTAGATTGTAAAGGCTTATAATGTGGCATGCTGGAACGTTTGTAATTTTTTGTAATGTAGAAGAGTGGTGCAGCAGTATGGATTGACTTGATAAAGATGAAAATGGGAGACACTAATAATTGTGATAACGTGGTTCAATAGAAACTAATAATTGTGATAACAAGTGGTTCAATAGAAACTTACTCTAGGGAGAAATTCCAGAGCTATCTTAGCAGCTTATGGAAGTACAGGAACCTAAGCTGCGTTGATTGTGATGTTGTTCAAGTAAGATGAAAAGGAAAAACAAACCAAACCTTCTCCCATTGAATTGATTGCAACTCATTACTGTACAGTCTGAGACTGTCAATTTTTATGGGAGCTGACAGCCTAATTTTTCTCTGATGGAGCATCTGCTGTCCTTGTACATAGTGGCGCAATGCTTAACTAATTGTCATGAGGGTTCTTTATTTAAAATGAACACTATTAAAAAATATACAGTTCTGAAGTTAAAGGCGTTCCCTTATGAGCTTAACCCCAACCCACTACCCATCAGGTCACTTCCAACTTGATGGTCAGAGTAGAACTACGCCTTTGGTTTCTCTGAGGCTGCCAATCTTTATGAGACTAGAAGGCCTCTTCTTGCTTTTGCAGAGTAATGGTAGATTCAAATTGCTGAGCTGGTGATCAGCAGCCCAAGTCGTCTTCTACACCACTGAACTCAGACAATTCAATGCCATTGAGTGGTTGCCCAGGGCTCCTAATAAGGAACTTCAGACTTTAAAATCTTTCTTCTGCCTTATCTTTTATCAACTTTATCTTGATTTTATTTCTCTCCTTTAAATTTATCGTCCTTATTTTATTTTACATAGTAAATTCTTATTTAAATTAACAAAGTTTTCACATTTTATTCCTCAGTTCATTTTTTTAATCTTACTTTTTCCTGGTATAACCTTGATTCTATCCCACCTGAATTTTGAGAATATTTCAAGAACAGATTTGAAGCATTGCATACTAAAGACAGACAAACTGTGGGAGGACATTTAGAACATCGTTTATGAAAAAAGCAAAAGGTCATTGTGATAGATACGCTTATTGTGCCAACCAAGCCAATAGGAACATGTGGGATTAATCACGTTGTAGTTTGATTGGAGGGCAAAGAGATAAATGACACTGCAAGGCTCACCCCTTTCTCTCTCACTCTCTGGTGATCATACCAGCATGTGGCTGCTTCAGCTAGTTCTCTGCCTCAACTTGTGAGCTACACTTCAGCTTGTGAGCTACGCTACCTGTGGGATAAGCCAACCCGTGGATATTGTTGCTAGAGCTTGAGGCTCCTTCAAGACCTGCTTCAACACCTCGCTTGAGCTTGAGACTGGTGGATCTTGTTGCCTTGTATTACTTGAGTTCAGTATCCCATCTAGTCCTGCTTCACTAAACTCCTGAGCTGCTGACTGTTGGTAACCCCTCCGCCCCCCTGCTATTTGTTGCCCATGGGTGGACTCTACCTGCATCGTCCAAGGGAAGACTCAGCTGTCTGCTTCCTAGACCTTAGATCTGGCAGCCCTCTTGAGTTGAAGGATTTCCAGTATGTTAACTGTTCCATGGAAGTGAGTTGAACTGAGCCCTCTGTACTTCTGTGTGGACTAATTAGCTGTTATATTTCTTCATGCTGTATAAACCTATCCATATATAAAATCATGTGTCCTGGTTTTGTTTCTTTAAAGAAACCTGCCTAACACAGTCATTAAAGAGACAAGAAAGAAATTATGTAAGTGGATGTCAGAAGAGACTCTGAAACTTGCATTTGAAGCAAATGGAAGGAAGAAATAATGAAGTTAAAGAATTGAATAGAAAATTTCAAAGGGCAACTTAAGACAGAGTCAAATATTATTAAAAAATGTGTAAAGACGTAGAATTAGAGACTAAAAGGAGAGCACACACTCAGCATATCTTAAAGAACTCAAAAAATTCAAACTTCGACTTGAAATATTGAAAGATTCTATTGATAAAATAGTGAATGATGAAGCATGCAAAGGAGATGAAAAGAACACAGTCACTGTGCCAAAAAGAACTAGTTGACATTCCACCATTTCAGTAGGTAGCCTATGGGTAAGAACCAGTGGTGCTGAAGGAAGAAGTTGAAGCTACATTGAAAGCATTTCCCCAAAACAGGCTCCAGGAATTGATGGAATCGCCATTGAAATCTTTCAGCAAGCTGTTGAAGAACTCACTGCCAGGAAATTTGGAAGATAGCTACATGGTCAACTGACTTAAAAAAGATCTGTTAGGTGACCTAACAGAATGCTCAAATTATAGAACAATATCTTGATCTCTCATGCAAGTAAAATTTTGCTGAAGATTATCCAACAGCAGTTGTAGCAGTACATTGACAGAACTGCCAGAGGTTCAGGCCAGATTCAGAAGAAGACATGGAATAAGGGATATCATTGCTAATGTTAGATTTATCTTTATTGAAAGCAGAGGATACCAGAAAGATGTTAACTAGTGTTTTATTGACTATGCAAAGGCATGTGATTGTGGATAGCTTTGAGAAAAATGGGAAATCCAGAATTCGTCATTGTGCTCATGTGAAACTTAAACATGAGTCAAGAGTCAGTTGTGCTAACAGAACAGGGTTTATGTTTTTATGGGGTTTTTTTTTTTGGTGAACAAACCCAGGATTAATGAACCCGTAGGGACAGCAAGTAGAATAAGGGTTTTGGGGGGTGGGGGTACAGTAGTGTTGGTGGTTAGGAGGGTGTGGTGTGGCTAAAAGGGAGACGATGTCAAGGAATCTAGGAAGGAAAAGAGTGTGGTAGCAATTGTAAAATACTACTTGATGTAATTGAACTATGGAATGATGGGATAACTGTATTAACTCCCAATTAAAGAATAAAATCAGGAAATTGTGTGTCAGGGTTGTATCCTCTTGGGATACTTATTCACTATATGCTGAGCAAATCATCAGAGAAGCTGGTTATATGAAGAAGAGTGTGGCATCAGCATTGGAGGAAGGCTTAACAACATGAGTTATGCAGATGATGACTTTGCTTGCTGAAAATGATGAAGCACTTGCTGATGAAGATCAAGGAGTTCAGCCTTCAGTGTGGATTACAGCTCAATATCAAGAAGATCAACATTCTTACAACTGAACCAGTAGGTAATATCTTGATAGATGGAGAAAGGGTTGAAGTTGTCGAGGGTTTTGTCTTGCTTGGACCCACAGTCAATGCTCATGGAAGAGGCAGTCCAAAGATTAAAACATGAGTTGCATTAGGTAAATCTGCTGCACAAGACCTCTTTAGAGTTTGCAAAGCAAGGATGTTACTTGAAGGACTAAAGGTGTGCCTGACCCAAGCCATGGTATTTTCCATTGCCTCATATGCTTGTGAGAGTTGGACATTGAATAAGGAAGACCACAGAAGAAACAGTGCATTTGAATGTGGTGCTGGAGAAGATGATCGAAAGTACCACGGACTGCTCAAAGGACTGATTGAAGTACGTCCAGATAGCTCTCAGTGTTTTGTCCTGTTGGACGTAAAGTGGCTATGGATAAGAACCAACTCACAATAGCAACTTCCCTCATTCAACTTCTTCTTTCTATTAAAAAATGTCTAATGCAACAACTGATCCAAGTATTGTAAATCATAAAATCCAGATAGAAGGAGGGAATGGTATCGGAGCTTGAGTTTACCTCATTTGTAAAAGGCTGTCTTACACTACTCGCTGTCTCCCTTCCCCCCATGATTTCTGTTGTTTGTGTGGTTATGTCGATCATTGAGATCAGTTTTTCCCTTACTCCCACCTTCCCCACCTTCCCCCTACCCTCCTGATAGCGCTACTCCCATTCCTGCTCCTGGATTCCAGAAGATTCTTAAAGTAGAAAGTTTACAGATAATACCATGCTGGCATGTTGTAATATTGACCTATCAGGTAAAATACTTAACCCCTAGCATAGTGTGATATAATGTCGGGAGTGGTTAAATTCATCACAAGAAATAAATGCATCCTTGGCGCATGCTGGAGCCTTGATGGTATAGTAGTTATGTCTTAGACTGCAAATCACAGAGTCAGCAGGTTGACTCTATTAGCATTTTGAGTCCAAGGGAGAAAGAGAAACTTTGTATTCCCATAAAGAGTTACAGTTTTGGAAACACAGAGGCAGCTCTATCTTGTTCAGTAGGGCTGTTCTGAGTTGGCAGCTACTCACTGGCAGTGGGTTTGGTTTTCTGAGGAGTGCATACTGGTGGCCCTGTCAGGTAAGCATTGAACTGCTGACAGCAATGCTGTCCAAGCAAGGCTGTCAAAGCAAGGCTGGTTTAAACCCACCAGGCACTCTGTGGAAGAAAGGTGAAGGTATCTACTCCCGTAAAGATTTGTAAAGCTCTGGAAACTCTGTTTAGGGCTACTGTGTGTTAAGGCAGTGGGTTTGGGTTAGGTGCGTACTGTAAATGATAGAAGCTCGGGCTGAAGAAAGGGCTCTCCTTTAATTTTGGAAGTTCACTTGGGTATGATTTTAAAAAGACTTGCAATGTTCCAGAACATTCTTGTCAGCTTAGGGTGAAAGTCCAGAGCTTTCCTAAGTAGTCTCAAGAGCAAAGATTTTCAGACTGTAGAAGAATTTGCTGAAATTTCTGTTTGTTTGTTTTTTAATAGAACCAGCTGTGAGAGCGGAGCTGATGGAGCAGGTGCCTCATATTGCGTTGTTTTGTCAAGAAAATCGACCTTCAATCCCATATGCTTTTTCCAAATACTTACTACCTATTGTGGTTAGATATCTCGCAGATCAGAATAATCAGGTACTTATTCCATTTACATGTTCTCAAAGAAAATTTAATGTACTGTATGTAGCCCAAGTGATGTCATTTGTATTTTGGTGTTTTGTTTTTCCCCTTTGACTTCATCATTGTTTTTAAAAACTGACAATATTTTGGTTTTATATATTATGCATTGAGAATCTTCCAAATCTAGTCATTTTCTTCTGATGACATTTAGGATGATACCTACAAACTACCCGCTCATTTGGAGCCCTAATCTGTATCTGACGTAATGTTTTTTCACTGTATGTGATATCTTATAGAAGGATGTATTTTTGCTGAGTTTTATATTTTCAGTAGTTGGAAAAGTAGCCAGGGCACTTTATTTGCAGATTTGTAGTTATGACAGCCCTTGTCTCACAGTGGTTCAAGTGCTCAGTTGCAAACTGAAAGAAAGGGTCGGTGGCTTGAACTCATCAGTGACTCCGAGGAACAGAACTGTGACAGTTTGCTTTAGTACAGACTATGGGGCACTTTTTTCCTGTTTTATAAAATTGCTATCTGTCAAAATTGACGCTCTAGCAAAGTGGGAGGGGGCAGTTAGGAATTTCTTGAAATTGAGGTGCGGCATTGTCAGATTTATAAGAAACAAGTGGTGGGTTTCATATGTAATTATTTCATGCAATTTTCCTAGGTGAGAAAAACAAGTCAGGCAGCTCTGCTGGCTTTGCTGGAGCAGGAGCTAATTGAGCGATTTGATGTGGAGACCAGAGTATGCCCCGTCCTTGTAGAACTCACTGCTCCAGACAGCAATGATGATGTGAAGACAGAAGCTGTTGCTGTAAGTAGCATGAGATTTTTCCATTTAGATAAAACTCTAGGCTTGGTAGCACAGTGGTTACATGTTGGGCTGTGACCCTCAAGGTCCACAGTTTGAAATCACCAGCTACTCTGTGGGAGAAAGACGGAGCTTTCTACTCCAGTAAACAGTTATAGCCCCAGGAACTCCCCGGGCCAGTTCTACCGTGGACTATTGGGTGGCTATGAGTGAGCATCGATGATGGCAGTGAGTTTGGCTTTTGGTTTATCTTGACTAACAGTAGGTACTTGTTAAATGGTAATAGGGTTTATCTTATTTAAAACATACTTATTAAACAGCCACAGATCATTAAATTTAAAATGAAATGTAGGGCTAGAAGGGACCGTCAAGGCTTGAGGAGACTGTGGTTTTGTTGGGTAATTAACCCTATCAACTAGTTTCTTCTTTGAGTCTTTGGTTTCCTTATTCGCTTTTGCTCCAGATAGGAAGACATCAGTGATAGTTGAATGTCTTTTTTTTCTTTTAATCATTGTATTGGGGGCTTGTACCACTCTTATCACAATCCACACATACATGCATTGTATGTCAAGCACATTTGTACATTTGTTGCCCTCATCATTCTCAAAACAGTTGCTTTCTACTTGAGCCCTTGTTATCAGCTCCTCATATCCCTCCCCCCACTGCTCGCCCTTCATCACGAAGCCTTGATGATTTTTAAATTATTATTTTGTCATATCTTATACTGTCTGATGGAATGTCTTTATTATAGTCTCTTCTTAGTGACATAGTTGTGCTAATCCCAGATGAACAAGCATTTAAAAAATAATAATAATTATAAACAAAATAATTAATAGATCAAAACTACAAATAAAAATTTGGGATTTCCTGTACATTTAGTATTTATTACTTGATTTTGTTGTATACGTTAAAATCTAATTATCTGTTTCTTGGTTGAATATAACGAGCTGCTGTGAATATAGTAGCACATCATTAGGCAGCAATATCATGATGCTGTATCACTTTATATTTTTAAAAATGCTATATAATTAAGAAACTTAACTAACAAACTCTTACTTAGAAGATATTTCCAATGTGTTTTTGTTGTTGTTTGTTTATTTCAGATAATGTGCAAGATGGCGCCCATGGTTGGGAAGGACATCACCGAGCGCCTTATCCTCTCTAGGTTCTGCGAGATGTGCTGTGACTGCAGAATGTTTCACGTTCGAAAGGTAGCTTTTGTCGTCGAGTTTTCTTTTTTCTGTTTTAAAACACGGTTCTAGTGCTTAGTGAATCGGTATTTGAAAGTTTATTTTTAAGAAACTTTTTAAAAAGTTGATTTGTTTAATATTTTTGAAATGCCAGTGATGTTTTTATTGGTAGGTCTGTGCTGCCAATTTTGGAGATATTTGCAGTGTAGTTGGTCAACAAGCTACAGAGGAAATGCTGGTAAGTATTGTACATCTAAAAGAGTGTGTTACAAAGTAGTACATAAAGTTTGAGATGGATTTGTTTACCCCAAATTTGTTTTAACATAACCCAAAGCAAGTAAACCACAAAGGTAATATGGCTTCAAGTTTAGGATTTTAAAACTCTATTATCTGGGTACTTGAATTGTCTTGATAAGAACAGCTTATTAAAAATGCAGGTAGGTATAAGAACCACTTGATCCTTTAACTTCTCCCATTTGTGAAGCAAATAAATTCTAACGTATTTAATTGAATCTGTAAATTTTATTGCAGTCTCACGGTATTTTAGTAATATGTTAAATCTACAGTAAGCTATTTTAAAATGTTATTATATATTGATATATGTTTGTATATTCTTGATGTTGATGTGCAAGTGAATGTACTTGAAGAGTTGTTGAAACCATCTGTTAGCAAAACAAATTCAGATCCAAGCCCTTGTTTAAATTTAAGTTATATTTGTTGGTGAAGTTTTTCTTTTGCATAGTTAATTGTTTTGCCAATTAAGTATGATCTATATAAAAGTGCTGAGTTGTAATATTAAACAGGTCTTCTACTTGTTAAGAAAATCTAATGTCTTAAAATGTGAAAGCAGATAGTGAAATAAAGTTAACTACTGAAACTTTTCACAACCTTGAAAATGTTTTGTCCTTCTCGTACAGCTGCCCAGGTTTTTCCAGCTTTGCTCTGATAATGTGTGGGGCGTTCGAAAGGCTTGTGCTGAATGTTTCATGGCAGTTTCGTGTGCAACATGTCAAGAAACCCGGCGGACTAAATTGTCAGCACTGTTTATTAATTTGATCAGTGATCCCTCACGTTGGGTAGGGTTTTGTTTAATTACTGTGTTTATAAAATAATAACTTGAGTCTGTCTTAAAGCAAACATGATTTTTGTTCTAATTTTATTTTTAAAAATCATTTTATTGGGGGCTCTTACAGTCTTTTTTAAAAATAATTGTATTGGGGGCTCATACAACTCTTATCACAATCCATACATACATCAATCGTGTAAAGCACATTTGCACATTCGTTGCCCTCAACAGTCTCGAAACATTTGCTCTTCACTTAAGCCCTTCACATCAGCTCCTCATTTTCCCCCTCCCTCCCTGCTCTCTACCCTCCCTCATGAACCCTTGATAATTTTAAAGTATTATTTTGTCATATCTTACACTGTCCGACGTCTCCCTTCACCCACTTTTCTGTTGTCCCTCCCCCAGGTAGGAGGTTATATGTAGATCCTTGTCATCGGTTCCCCCTTTCCATCCCACCCTCTCATCACCCTCCTGGTATCGCCACTCTCACCACTGGTCCTGAATGGATCATCTGTCCTGGATTCCCTAGGTTCACAGTTCCTGTCTGTACCAGTGTATATCCTCTGGTCTAGCCAGATTTGTAAGGTAGAATTGGGATCATGATAGTGGGGGGTACGGGGAGGAAGCATTTAGGAACTAGAGGAAAGTTGTATATTTCATCGTTGCTACACTGCACCCTGACTGTTTAGTCTCCTCCCCAGACCGCTCTTACAGTCTTAGAACATTTCATACATTAATTGTATCAAGCGTAATAAACTATCTCAGTTGCCTTCATCATTTTCTAAACATTTACTTTCTATTTGAACCCTTGGGATCAGCTCCTCTTAATTCTCTCCCACCCCCATGACCCCTTGATAAGTGATAAATTATTATTGTTTTCATATCTTACACTAACCCACCGACTTCACCCATGCTTCTGTTGTTCATCTCCCTGGGTGGGGGGTTGGGGTTGGGGGGAATTGTGCATCAATCATAGAGATCAATTTCCCCTTCGTCCCCCTACCCTCCTGGTATTGCTACTCCAATTTTTGTTCCTGAAGGGTTTATCTGACCTGCATTCTGTGTATTTTGAGCTCTTATCTGTACCAATGTACATGCCCCCGTCTACCCAGACATGAAAGGCAGGATTGGGGTCATGATAGTGGGGGGTGAGGAACCCTCAAAGAACCAGAGCAATATTGTGTGTTTCATCGGTGCTATACTGCGGCCTGGTTGACTCATCCCTTCCTTGCAACCCTTCTGTGAGGGGATGCCCTCTTGTCTACAGATGGGTTTGGGGTCCCTGCTCCGACTCCGCACTGTCGTCTTGGAGCATTTTGATCATGCTATCCCACTGACTTCTGGTTTCACTCTCACTGCTGAGAAGTGAGCTCGGATTTTGTTGGTGTTCACTTCTAAGTACTGAAAGGTTTTTCTCTTGATACTTCGAGGATTTTCTCCTTGCTTCTGGTTTCCAGCATTTCTACTTTGAGGTGTCTGTGTTTGATATTTATTCTGGCTCCAAGAGTGCATCTCCCTCAGCTTTCTGTCTCCTCCAGCCCCACCCCCATGCCAGTTTCTCTCGGGAAAACTCTCAGGCCTACAGTTTAGCCTTTGTATTTTGAGCCCTATCTCAACTGCCTTTCACCAAAAACTCTATGGTGTGATTATATATGCTTCAGTTTCTCCAGGCTTTAGGCTTTATTGCAAATGACATCACCCCTATGACAGAAACTTCAGAGTCAGGGTTCTGGAAATAGGGATGGAGATGAACCAACCCTCTTTGATTGACATCCTGCTGTTAGGGCCAGGCATAAGTGGACACAGTCGGTAACAGCCTACGGTCCTCTGAGCTGCCTCTCCAGGTGTGCCAATTGTCTCATGAGTGAAGGTAAAGGGCTGTCGGGACCCCAGTTTTTCAGCATACCTCACCTAAGGTAGACCTCTATTCCATAGTGGGGCTTAGATTAAAAAAGGGACTCTTTACTTCTCGGCTGAACGTCTCTTACCTTAACAGTAGGTAGGATGAGAAATGCTGAGATTCTTGTACTCCTTTGAAGACAGTTCTTCATTTGGGAGCTGGGGAAATAGGGCGTCAGTAGTAGTCTCTGCCTGATCAAACTGGGAAAGGAGAGGAAGGGAGTAGTAGTTCAAGTACCACAGACTGTTACTGAGCTTCTCATACCATGGTTTGAAAGAGTTCTTGAATAGCCAGCTATTTGGTGTGCTGTTTGGCCTTAGGACCCTCTCCGGAGGTTTTGGTTGGTGGTGACTTGTGATTTTCACCAGTGTCATTGGAAGCAGTTTAGCCGAGCTCCTGCAGGAAGCTGCTTGCCGAGTCTGTTACGTTCCTTTTCAAAACAAGATCTTCACAGAGGGAGTGACTGTTAAGCCCTTAATACTGTTTTATTGTGGACTGGTGTTGGGCTGCTTCAAGTTCAGCAGTTCAAAACTACTAGCTGCTCCACAGGTGAAAGATGAGATTTTTGACTCCCTTAAAGAGTGCTAGTCTGAGAAACCCACTGGTGCAGTTTTGCCCTGCCCGACAGGGTTTCCCTGAGTCAGGATCAGCAGCGGTGAGTTTGTCTTTTCTTATAGAATTATTAGAAACGATTAACATAACTTATTTAATGTTTATGTTTTCAAATGATAGCTACTTTGTGATTTTTGGCTCAGTAACAGTATTCTATCAATTTGGGACCGGTGTGGTGCTTTTGAACTGATGGCTTTGTTTACCAGTCCAACGCACAACCCACTGTGCCACCACAGAGCATGTAAAGAAAAACGAGTGAGAAGTTCTGTTTTCTTGGGCTGGAAAATTTAATATTGTTGAGATGTGACTATTACTCAAAACAATCTATAGATTCATGCAATCCCAATTAAAATTCAAATAGCCATCTAAATAGAAATGGGAAAATAATCAATTCTCAGTGTTATGTGGAATGTAAAGAAGCCTCAAATAGTTAAAACACTGTTGAAAGAGAATAACTCACTTTTCCTGATTATAAAATGTATTCTACAGCTACAGTAACCAAAACTGTGCTACTGGTATTACAACAGACACACAGAGCAGTGGGATAGAATTTAAAGTTTAGAAATAAACACATCCATGGTGAACTGATTTTTTATAAAGGTGCTAAGTCCATTTGATGTGAACGAAGATTTCCACACGCAGAAAAAGGAAAGATCCATCCATCATGCATAACAAGTTCATAAAACAACAAAAACAAAATTCCAAATGGACTAAGGACCTAAATGTATAATCTAAAGACGTATATTCTAAAAGCCTTGGAGGGAGGGAGGGAGGGAAGGACTTTTAAAAATCCAACAATAAAAAGACACACTACTGAGGGGCTGGCCCCAATCCCAACTACGTGGATAGAAGAATTTACTTCAGAGGACAGCACTGAAGCTACAGCTCGGAGAGGGACAGGTCTGATCAGAGCAACGGGAGCAAATGAAGGGGGAGGAAGAAAGAGTGGAGCACATCTTGGACCACCAAACCTTGAGGACGATATTCCTGCTCAGAGCAGCTGATGCACAGAGAGGACCATATGGCCAGCCCCACTATTGAGACTTTATATCCCTCACTGACCCTTAGCCCTATGGGGGACAACACTGGAGATACAGTGCAGGAATTGCACCCGATCTGACCCTACCACATGGAAGCAAAACACTAAGGGCGTGCAACAGAACAGCAAGAGGAGCAGAGCAAGGAAGTCCCGACGGTGTCCCAAAAATAGACTTTGGGGCTAGGGCATGGCACCCCATCAAACTCGACCGGAAAACACTCCTAAAGGTCAACAAACAGACCTCAAACTGTTTACAGGCTTTTCTTTTTTTGGTCATTGTTTTTTTTTTTTTTGTGCATATTATAATCTCTGCAGGTCTATCTAGATAAGATAGGCTGGATAAACAATCTGCAGGAGAAAATGAGGACTGACGGTTGGGGGGGGACGGTGGGGGGGGGACATGGGAGAGGGAGAGGTGAGGGAAAAGAAGTGGTGTTAACAAACCCAGGGACAAGGGAACAGCAAGTGATCCAAAATCAGTGACGAGAAGGGTATAAGAGGCTTGGTAGGGCTTGATCAAGGGCAATGTAACTGAGAGGAATTACTGAAACCCAAATGAAGTCTGAACATGGTAGTGGGAAAAGAGGAAAGTGAAAGGAATTAGAAGAAAGAACTAGGAGGCAAAAGACATTTATAGAGGTCCAAATACAGGCATGTACATATGTAAGTATACTTATATATGACGATGGGGAAATAGATCTATGTGCATATATTTATAGGTTTAGTATGAAGGTAGCAGATGGACATTGGGCCTCTACTCAAGTACTCCCTCAATGCAAGAACATTTTGTTCTGTTAACCTGGCA